CGTGGGGTGGATTGGTGGATTTCGTTGTCGCACGCGCGAGGCGGTGGATCGCTCGGCGCGCGCGCGCGGTGGGCCGCGGCGTCGCGCGCGCGCGGTGGACGGGGGTGACGACCACTTGGGTGGATAGGGAGGGATGCGTCGACGCGCGCTCGCGGTGGGGCGACGGGTAGGGGCGGAGATGGGTGAGGACGTCGCGGGGGCGGCGACGGCGGCGCGCGCGCGCTCGGGCGGGCGGACGTCGACGAGCGCGTACGCGTCGGGGACGACGGTGGCGACCGAGCTCGCGCGGGCGAAAGAACTCGGGTTGGAGGTGCCGCGACCGGGATCGAGGGTGCTCAAGGCGTGGCTCGGGCAGGAGTACGATTGGACGCGAGAGACGGTGGCGAGCTCGCTCACGGGGACCGACGTCCCGGAACACAGCATCGCGGCGCAGAAGGTGTACGAGCCGGCGCTGACGTCGCCAAAATGGATTGCACGCATGATGGGGGCGACGGAGCCGACGGCGAAGGAGGCGCTGACGCCGTCTTTCGCGCCGGCGTTGTGGAAGTGGTTGTGCGCGTCATCCATTGAAAACGCAAAGCACAACATCGCCGTCGTGGGCGCTATAGTCGGTCAGAACGAGACATCCAAGGGTAAATATATTAGTTTCGGCTCGGGGTCGTCGAGAAAATCGACGTTTCTGTACAACGTGCGAAGTAACAAGACGATGGACATCGAGCTCACGCCACGCGGCGAGGCTCTCTTCGATTACATGACGGCCAACATGTTGCTCATGCAGGCTTCGAAGAAGCCAAAGTATAGTGTTCTTCCGTTCATGCATAGATTTCGCTCGAACGCGTACATGTCCCTCGCGGGTTTACCGCGCGATTGGGAGGGGTTGCGTTTACATCAAATCCTCGTTCGTCGTATCGAGGAATCGGGACGCGTGGTAGACTTAAAGCCAGAGTCGCCCATCACGGTCGTGCCGATGAGCGAGCTAGAGATTTCAGATTTCATGGGCACTCTGCCGCCGCAGTTGTTCGTCTGGGTTCTCCCGCCGGTGCACAATTCTCCTGAGAACCGCGCGCTGGTGGAGAAGGACATTCAAACCGCACTTCGCATTGGCAAGAGATCCGACGTGCGCGTCGTCGTGTGCGGGTTAGAGTTTTCTGGTCATCGTGGATCGAACGTCCCCGTCGGCCGTCAGTGGGATGAGTTGATGAGCGATCTCACGGTCTTGACGCGCTCCGCTGCCGCGGAGGAGCACAACTCTCGATTCATTGAGCAGCTCGACGACATTCAGAGTCAATGGTTGAACGAATGGTCGCACAACGGATTGACGCTACCAGAGGTAACGAAGATGATGTCCGCCGGTGAGCTCGACAGAATCGGCGAGATGACGAGCGATCGCGCCAGGAAGTGGTTCGATGAATACACGGCGCCGTACCTCGGAAAGCAGCACGATTCGCGATGGTTCTTGATGAACGCCATCTTCGGGGGCTTGCGGTTTATAAACCGTCTCCGCTCGAGGACGAGGTCTTTCGGCGATTCTATTGTGGATACGACGCAGCACACGCACAAGTTCCTTCGCGGAGAGATGACGGACGAACAGATTTTAGAGGAAGAGCGAAAACTCGTGGCGTTTCACGGCACCCCCGAGGGCAAGATGAAAGTGTTTCCACCGGTCACGAAAATATTTGACGCGCTCAGAGAATTTAGAATGGCGGTGCGCAAGGCGGATCTTCGCGCAGAGTTGCAGAACCTGACCGAGCGCGCGAAGGAAGTCACCTCCTCGCGAGATGATGCCGATGTCGTCAAGGCTGAGTCATTGTTACGGGAGATGTGGAACGTCAAGGGAAGGATGTCCCAGGTGAACCTCGCGCAAAGCGAGCCCGCGGTCGTGGCATTTAACATGCAGCTCGGTTCGTTAGAGCAGATCGCCGCACTCGGCGAGATGCACAGACAAGCGTTCTTAGATACGGTTAGTCGCATCAACGAGACTGCGTCGGCGCCGATGCCCGTGGAAGGCGGGCCGCAAGCTCTCGAGTCGCAGAGCGTCGAAATGGAGCAGCTTTTGAGTGATCTGACGTCACGCATCCAAGCGCGATTGGCAGGAAGCGCGCTGCAGGTTTCCGCTCAGAACATGGATGAAATCAGCGAAGAGGACATCTCAAAAGAGCTCATGGACGCGTTGAATTTGGATGCCCAAGACGTCGACTCGGCGGTGAAAGCAAACAAGCTCGGTCGCGACCGAGTGAACGCTCTGATCGCGGCGAAAGATTTACTGCACGCAGCGGAGGATGTCGACCCAGTAAAACTCAGGGAGCGAATCATGCACGCGAAGGAAGCTGGAGTTGACGCCGACATAGTGTTCAGCGCGGAGACCAAACTGGAGAACTTGGAACGACAAATCCAAGCCTTCATTCGCGCCCATCGCATCACGGATTCACTCCTGCCAGCGCCGACGTCTGGGAGCGACTCTGATAGCGATCGATGGGTGAACGCCGGAAGGAACATTTGGTACAACGAGGCTGAGATTCTCGGACGCGGTTCGCTTGGCACCATTGTGTTCAAAGGTTACTTCGACGAAGGCGCTGGTAACAGAGTGAGTCGTCGCGAAGCTGCGGTGAAACGCATACCGCTGCCACCTGGTGAGCGTGGCGATAATATGCGATCGCTCATTGAACGCGAAGTCGCAATTCACAGGCATCTCAACGAACGCAGTACGCGCGTGACGTACCTACTTGGGAGCAAACTCGACGTCGATCGCAACGACGGGGCGATTTACACCGCCAGCGAATTATGCGGCGAGTCGCTCGCGACGTGGCTGAAAAACGCGGGTGGCTCAAAAGGCGTTCCGCAGATTCCTCACGGCGAGCGCATGGACGCCGTCCGACAACTCGCTCTAGCGATTGAAGACGTCCACTTGGCGGGAGTCACTCACAATGATATCAAAGCGGATAACTGTTTGAGAAGTGGTGAAGGGGAGTTCAAGCTTGCAGATCTAGGACTTGGGGTGAGAATAAAGGATGCGAACAAGGCGACGGATGGGAACACATATTCGCTCACCACGTTCGAGGGATACGGGGTGAACATCGGCCTTCAGGGTCGGCCTCCTGAAGTTTTGCTCAACGCTCCGTTGACGCCAAAGGTTGACGTCTGGAGCTTTGGTTGCCTCATGTACACTGTCATGACTGGATTACAGTCGCCGTACAAGCAAGATAAGAAGATGGACTCGAGGAACAAGTCCCAATCAACGATGCATGAGCTCGACATGAACGCCTCGACCGCGCTCGACGTGGGATTTGAGAACCAAAGAATCGTCAAGGGCAAGTTTAGTCTTCAGGCGATAGAGACGGCGCAGCTTCCTGCGCACACCACAGTAGGCGCCCGTGAGATTTTGCATCGCATGTTGGATCCCGATCCTCGCGAGCGTCCGACGGCGACGGAGGTGTGCGAGCACCCCGTACTCTGGGACGTCGAAGATTGCATGGAGGCGGTGAGAGAAATTTTTGACAGGCGCATCGTGAGCGCCATGTCTGATCTCGACGAACACGAGCTCGTGCGAGAGGTATGGAAGGGAAGACCTGGTCAAGCCGAGCGCGCGGCGCAAACGATTCGTAACTGGAAATCCGCTGTCGTTCCATCTCTCATGACGCGCGCCGAAAAGTACGTCCAACGAACGGCGAGTATGCAGCAGACATGGGACGAAAAGCGCGCCGCCGCCGCCGCCGCCGCAACCGAGGCCAAGCGCCGCAACCGCCGAGGCCGCGGACGCCGCACCCCTGAACATCAACCCTCCACCAAGCAACATGAACCAAGGGACTTCTCCTACGGCGACCGCCTGTTCGATCTCGTGCGATTCGTTCGCAACATGCACGAGCATCCGCCGCTCGAGGCGGAGCGCGCCGACATGCTCCGCGCGCTCGGCGCCAACGTCTCAATCCTCCTCAAACCCGAGGATACGAACGCCGATCCGTGGACGTCGTCCCGAAAGATCGTCGAGGCTTACGTCGCGCACACCTTTCCAGATCTTCCTCTATTGGCGCACCACCTTCTCAAGCGTTCGGAATCGAACGCGAGCGCCGAGCGCGAATAGAGCGGAGCGCGGCGCGTGTAAAAAAACTTGCCCAGCGCGCGAGCGTGCATCCACACCTCCCGACGCGCGTCGTCCCGTCGCCCTCGCGCGCCGCGCCGTGCCCGCGCCCGCCCGCGCGCACGACGCGCCGCGGGCACCGATCGAGTCATCGCACGACGCGGACGACGCGCGACGCGACGGATTCGAACGCGATTCTAGATCGCGTCGCGGTGCCTCGATTGCGATTTTCGCCCACGCGACGGTCGCGTCCGTCGCGCTCGGGAGGTGGACATGCACGACGTCGACGCGGATGCGGCCGTCGTGGACGTCGTTCGCGGTGCGAGCGACGCGGCGAGCGATCGAACGCCGCGAGGGAGGGTGAAGCGAGGACGATGGAGCGACGCGGCGGCGGAGACGAGCGACGCGCGGGCGAGCGCGGAAAACGCGCGCACGCAGAGCGGACCGGGAACGATGGCGTCGAGAGTGATGTCGGAGGATGTGGGTGGGGTGAGCGAACGATCGATGGAGTGGATGTCGGACGAGGACGATCGGGCGATGGTGCGGTGCGCGATGGAGGCGAGCGCGGAGCGAGCAAGACGCGCGAGCTCGAGAACGGTCGGCGCGAGGATTAGTATCGGGGAGAAAATGGCGCCGAGAGAGGGATGGGATGCGCGGCGGCGCGTAGATTTAGAATTTTGGGGTGTGCCGGAGACGGCGCGAGAGGCGCTCGCGCGAAAGGGCGTGCGAGAGTTGTACCCGTGGCAGGCGGAGTGTCTAGCGCTTCCGGGAGTGCTCGACGGTTCTTCAAATCTGTTGTACAGCGCGCCGACGAGCGGAGGTAAGAGTCTCGTCGCGGACGTGTTGTTGATACGACGATTTCGTGAGAAACCTGGGAGCATCGCTATGATGGTCCTACCCTTTGTTGCGCTCTGCGAAGAGCGTGCGGATAGTTTAGAAAATTTGTTGGCGGGCTCTGAGGTTCGCGTGCGTCGAATGTACGGTGGTCGCGGAGGTACAATTCCGAGTGATTCGTCGGCGAGCACGCTGTTAGTACTCACACCCGAGAGAGCGAATCAGGTGACGTCGCGTCTGCTTGAAGACAACCGCTTGCGCGAGCTCAGTGTCGTCATAGTTGACGAGTTGCATTTGATTCAAGACAACGATCGAGGGGCGACGATGGAGCTGTTCCTGACCAAGCTCGTGTTCTCCAGCGGACTTTGGCGACGAAAACTCAGTGAGGAGAACGATGCGCGTGGAAGCGCCGACGGCGAAAGCCAGACAACGTACTCGGTGGGGCGTACACGTGGCGGTGTACGAGATCAGCGAACGACGCAAATCTTGGGCATGAGCGCGTCGATACCGAATCTCACATCGCTCGCTGAATGGCTTTCGGCTCGGCTGTTCGTTACTGATTTCCGACCCGTGAGGCTCGAAGTATGCGTGAAGAGCGGGCACGAGGTTTTTGATCCGCAGAGCAAGCGAGTGATTCGCACGATGACGAATAAATCACCGAATTCGGACGTGGCACACATTGCTGAACTCGCGCAAGAAACCGTCGACGAGCAAGGCTCGGTTCTTGTGTTTTGTTCCTCGAGGAGGGCCTGCAAAATTTTAGCAGATGATCTTCAATCCATGATGCGGTGCGACCCGTCGTGCAATGGTGCCAACGTTACTTCGTCGGGTGAACTCCTTACGAGCTTCGTAGCTTTCCTCGGCGAGAAGAGCGAAGTACTTGGATACATCAAGTCTGGCATCGCGTACCATCATGCTGGCTTGTCTCGCGAAGAAAATGAGGCGGTAGCGGGGGCGTACAAGCGGGGTCTTATTCGAGTTCTGTGCTGCACCAGCACTCTCGCCACGGGTGTCAACTTACCGGCGAGGCGCGTGATTCTTCGAGATACAAACATGGGATGGAAAAAGCTCACCGCGCGTGACGTGCAGCAGATGTGCGGTCGCGCAGGAAGAGCGGGACTAGACGCGAGCGGATCTGCGATTGTGTTTTGCCAGAAACGTGCCGACCTGGAAAACGTGTTCGATCTTGTGAGTGGACCGAGCGAGGAGCTCACGAGCGCGGTCGCAGAGATCGGTATGCGTCGCATTATGTTAGAGGCCGTTGCGTCCGGACTGGTAAAAACTCCCGAGGACGTCCTGGCGTACGTCAAATGTACATTACTCTCGGCGTTGAACGATTTCAACGACGCCGTGAAGCAAATCGCCATTGACGCTTTACAGTGGTGCCAGCGGAACGCGCTTTTAGTGTGGAGCACGACGACGTATTTGTGGAACTCTTCGCCGCTTGGTACCGCTGTTGCTGGCGGTATGATGCCTTTGGATCAGATTCAGCCAATCGTCAGAGACATAAGGATCGCTCGCGAGGACTTGGTCTTGAGCACACCGCTGCACCTATTATTTCTTCTTACTTCACCGCCGGTGCTCGATTCGGACGGGGCTCCGTTGAACGTGCGCGAGACGTGGCCGCTCGATCGCTTTGCCGCGGTCTGGTCGAATTTGAGCTCTGAACAAGAGCGAATCGCAAGGAAAGTCGAAATCGACGAGGGGTACATCCAGAGACTGCGTGTGAATAAACGAGACATCACGAATGCGCACAAGCTTCAACGAATCACGTGTCAGCGATTTCACCTCGCCCTTGCTCTGACCGATTTGATTCAAGAGGTACCGATAGACGTCGTCGCTCAAAAGTACGGTCTTCGCACATTTGACATTGCGGAAGAGCAAAAGGCGTGCGCTCGTTTTGCCTCGTATGTGGCAACGATTTGCGGCACCCTCGGCATGGGAGACATGGAGTTTCTCATCAATAAAATCAGCGACAGAATCACGGCTGGAGCGCAGGAAGAGATTCTTGAGTTGACGAAGATTCCGCACATTGGCATACATCGTGCGAGGGCGCTTTACGCGGGTGGCATTACCAATCCGAAATCCATCGTGACCTTGGGAAGCGTGGACAAAATTGCGGCAGTTTTGAAGCAATACAGCAAAAATGATGCGTCGACGCCAGCAGCGATCGTTCGCGCAGCTCGTGAGATTTTGTTGTACGCCCGAGACATCGTCGCGGAGCAGGCGCGTGAAGAGCGAGAGCAGGCTGAGGCTAGGCTGGCCGAGATAGGGGAAATTGAAGCGGACATGGCGTTCGACGAGCCGATCAACGCGACGGAACTGGATGTTCATAGAGCGACAGGCGCCGTGTTGCTCGATACTCCGGAGAACGTAACTAGTTTCTTGCGAGCATGGGAGATCTCCGAGGAATACTCTGTGATGTTTCAGCCAAGAAGCGACATCGACGCATCCGGCCCACGACGTGCTTTCGACGAACCAGTGCGCATCGCCGTCGCGCTGAATGCGAAGTCAGTCTTCATCGCTAAGCTGTTGTACCCGAGACACGATGAACGCGATCAACTAGCGAGACGTGAAATTGCTGGCGTGCGCATCGACCAAGCGCTGGCGATATTGTCCAGAGAGGGTCCGAAAAAGTTTACGATCAATTTGCAGGCACAACTGTGCAACATAGTTGGCGATCAAGAGGCGACATATTCAGCCAGGCTTTTCTCATTCGCCCCACCCTGCGTTGACGTTCGGATCGCAGCTTGGTTGCTTCGACCGAGCGCGCCCGAGGTCCAATCTAGCTCTCGTGACGATTTGGTTCATGGTATGGACCCGACGGAGCCTCTAATGAGTTTGTTTAGCGCTGAGCTGGACTCTGCGAAGAGCGGCGTCGACACGGCGTGTCTTTTGCTGGAACGCAAGGGTAGAAGTTACGAGCATCTCAAGCCGCTGTCGCGAGCCGTCGCGTCTTGCTTTCTCATGGGTCGCTTCCTCTGGGAAGAGTGCGAAGCTAAAGATTTGATTCGCGCCCTCATACGGGTCGAGATGCCCTTCGTCGCTCCTATCGTGGCGATGGAAACTGTGAAAGTTCCATTCGATCCGCGAAGGTTGAAAGAGGAAATTGCCGCCATGGATGACCGGCTGAAGAAGCTGGAAGAGTACGCGAAAAAACAGAAATGGCTTGACCCGCTCCATCCCGCAAACCTTCGAAGAGCGTTCACGGACAACGCGTATTTGGTGAAATGTCTTTACGAACACCTCAAGCTCACACCGCCCGCCGGGAGCGAGTTGGCGTTCACAAAGACTGGTAAGCAACGCAAAGGAGTGTACAGTATCGACCAAGACAACTTACGAGAAGTCCATGAACAAAGTGGTCACATGTTCCCGTTGCTCATCTTGGAGCATCGCAGCGTTTTCAAGAGGCTAACCTTCGCGGATGTGCTCCTTGGCATGTACGGCGAGTCCATGGATTCGCGCATCCGGTACTCGATACACCAGACCAATCATGACTGCGGAAGGTTAACGCACATCGAACCGAATTTCCATTCAATGGCTCACGACATGAAGTGCGTCGACGCGTTCGATGGTCTAGATGCGCCTGTCATATCGGTACGCTCCGCCTTCACGCCGCCCGCCGACAGAGTATTTCTTCGCGTCGACTACTCGCATTTGGAGCTGCGCGTGATGGCGCACTTCAGCGGCGACCAGACGTTGATTGCGCTGCTTCAGAATCCAGAACCAGTCAATGCGCACGATGATCCATTCACCATGCTGGCCTGTAAATGGCGCGGTGTGCCCTTGAACGCCGTGAGTGTAGACGAGCGTCAACGGGTGAAAAACTTGGTGTATGGCATCTTATACGGGAGCGGCGTGAAGAGACTTGCTCGAGAGCTTCGGTTATCTGATGAAAAAGCAAAAATACTGGTGGATGAACTTAAATCGATGCTTCCAACCCTGATGAATTGGCGCGACGACGTCGTCGCTCGCGCCATCGAGGAGAAGCCAATCCCTCGAGTGACAACCATCTCCTCTCGTCACAGATATTTCCCTGAGCTCTTGTCCAGGAGCGGTGACGAGCGCTCGGCGGCAGAACGCCAAGCCGTGAACACGGTATGTCAAGGGAGCGCGGCGGACATCTTTAAGACGGCTGTCGTGCTCGTCATGGAAACCCTGCGCGCGAAGCACCTGTTGGACAGATGCCAACTCGTGCTGACTGTACACGACGAAGCCGTGTTCGAGGTGAACGCCAGCGTCGCCAAAGCGGCGGCACGGATCGTTCGAAATACCATGGAATCCGTCGCCGGAGTCTTCAATCTGAGCGTTCCGCTTCCCGTGAAGGCCCAGATTGGCCCTTCGCTCGGCGACGCCGCGTTCGTCTCCGTCCCGCGGGCGTCCCCGTCGAGCCGTCAACCGACTCCGGCTCCGTCGCCAGTCAAGCTCCCCACCCATTCGCGATGAGCGCGCGCTTTTGTACCAATACCAGATGAAATTCTTTCATTCAAAATCTTCCTCACGCATCCGAACCGTCGTCGCTCCACCGCGCGCGCTCGGCGCCGCTTGCTCCCGCTCGCGTCTCGCGCGCAACCGTCCGTCGTCCTCCCTCGGGCCAGCTCTCCATTGGGCGACGCGTGCGTTCCGGGAAAATGCCAGCTCTCGGCCTCGTCGCGCGCGTCCACGCGTCCGCGCCACCGTCGTCGACATCCACCCTCGCCGCTCGACGCGTCGTCGTGACGAACCGCGTCGCCGCGAACGGGAATCATCATCATCATCGAGTGAATTCTGTGTCGAGGCGGCGACGAGGCGCCGCGCGCGCGTCCGGAATCTGTGGCATCGATCTGGGCACGACGAACTCCGCGGTGGCGATCGTGCGAGATGGCAAGGCGGAGATCGTGGCGTGTCAGGGGCATCGAACGATCCCGAGCGTGGTGTGCTTCGCGAGCGACGGGTCGTTCTCGGTTGGACGAGAGGCGAGGCGGATGCAGCGAACGGACGCGCGAAACACGGTGCACAGTGCGAAGCGGTTCATCGGGAAGAAGTATAAGAAAACGAAGAAAATAGCGAAAGATTTTCCGTACAGAGTGGTGAATCATCCGGAGACGAAGTACGCGTCGATCGCGATCGAGGGTGAGAATGGGGAGACGCGTTTGGTGGCGCCGGAGGAGGTGAGCGCGTGCGTCTTACGGACGCTTCTGGACGCGGCGGAGAAGGAACTTGGGACGTCGATCGATAAAGCGGTGATAACGATACCGGCGTACTTTGATGATGCGCAGCAGGAGGCGACGATTCGGGCGGGACAGCTCGCGGGATTGACGACGGTAAAACTGTTGAAGGAACCCGTCGCGGCTGCGTTGGCGTACGGCATCGACGTGGAGGAAGACGAGACGGTTTTCGTGTTCGATCTGGGCGGCGGAACGTTCGATGTGAGCGTACTAGAGGTGGGCGGTGGAACTGTCGAAGTCTTGGCGACTGGGGGTGATCCACAACTCGGTGGAGACGATTTCGATCGAGTCATCGCCATGTGGTTATCGGAGGAGGCGAAGAAGCGAGATGCCGAGGTTGACCCGCGTGGAGCGCTAAACGTTGCCCGCAAGGCGCGCGAGGCGCTGAGCGATCAAGATCAGGTCGAAGTTCCTATGCCAGACGGTGGAAAGGTGGTGATGACGCGAAACTTACTCGAGAAGCTCGTCATCGATGTTCTTCGACGCATGCGGGAGCCTGTGGCGGCGGCGGCGGACAGCGCTGGTGTGGATCTGGAGGCGATAATGGAGAACGCGAAGAAGAAGGATGGCGCCTCGCGCGCAGCCGGGCGGCCCTTCGATCAAATATTACTCGTCGGCGGCGCGACGAGATCTCCGTTCGTGCGAAGATTCGTGGCAAATACCCTCGGACGAGAGCCGAATGTGTCGCTCGTGAATCCTGATGAAGCCGTGGCGCTCGGTGCCGCCATCCACGCCGGATCGCTCGAAGGGACGATTGAAAACGTACAGACGCTCAACTCGATGCAAGCGAGCTTGATGCGCGCGCTCATGGCGAAGATGAACACCTCGGACGCTGATAGCGAGGATAAAGAGTTTGACGACGACGTCACGTGCATGGAGGACGACTGGCACGACAGTTGCGACGAGGGTAACGTCGACAACGACGAAGACGATTGGGGACCCGACGATTTAGGAGACCTCTTGATCTTGGATGGGAAGTAAGCAGACGCGAAGCGGCGCATTTTTCTAGTTTTATTATCACAGTTTCAGCTCTCGAACAAGCGACGCCCATCGTCCGAATCCTACCAGTCTATACATCCTCGGCGCGACGTCTACGTACGCCTCGTCGACCTCCTCACCATCCACCTCCTCATCCTCCTCATCCTCCTCGTCCGAATCCTCCTCGTCGTCCTCGTCCGTCTGAATCACTTCCCCGAGCTCGCTCGCCTCCCCGCTCGTCGTCTCCACGTGCACCTCCAATCGCTCCTCCGGCGTCAACCGTCCCAACCGCTCGCTCCACTCCACCACCGATATCGCCCCATTCGCGCTCTCTCGCAAATCACACATCGCCAACACCTCTCCCTCTCCCGTTAATCGATACAAATCGTAGTGATGCACCTCCCCCGTCGCCGTCTCGTACCGCTGCTGCACCAGGTACGTCGGACTCGGGACGTCCGCCCGCGCGTCTCCCAGCCGCGCGCGCACGAACGCCCTCGCCAGCGCGCTCTTTCCCGATCCAACGCGTCCGCGCAAACATATAACGTCTCCGTTTCGCGCCGTGCGCGCCAGCGCGCGCGCGAGCTTCGCCGTCGCGCTCTCCGACGTCGACGCGAAGACGCGTTCAGCCGCTTCACTCGACCCTCGCGCGACGCTCGCGCGCGCGCGCGGGCGTCGACGCGCCCCGATCGCGCGCAGCGTCGCCAGCGCCTCGCGCGGGACGGCGCGCATGCCCACGCGGGCGCGGGCGTCGACGACTGACGATTCGATGATGTCGATCACGAGCACGCGTTGAAGACGCGCGCGATGCGTCACAGAACACCTCGCGCGCGTCGCCTCGTCGCATCGTCGACGCGCCGACGCGAAGAGACCGCACGGACGCGTGCGTGCGCGCCGATCGCGCGCGCGAGAGCGCTCGAGGTGGTGCGTGCGAGGAGGAATTCTCGAGACGACGAGACGATCTTTCGGAATCGGTGGAGGATTCTGGTCGACGCACGCGGCGTTCGTCGCATACCGACGCCTCGACGGTGGGCGATCGCGAAGGGATCATGGTCGCGGACGTCGAGCGCGCGTCTAGGGCGCCGGGGGAGGGCGGAGACGACGGTGGATGGCAAACCGCGCATCACCACGGGTCGAGAGATCAACGCTCGGAGGAGAAGCGCGGGTCGAGAAAGTCTCAGGACGACGGCTCGAGAAAAGAGCACGGCGATGGGAAATGGCGAGACGGTGAGAGTGGTCCTCGTGGGACGAGACGAGAACGACAGGAGCGACGGAAGGAACAGGGAGGTCCGAAGGGCGACTGGGGCAAGCGAGATGGACGCGATCAAAGTTCTTGGGGCGGAAAAGGGCGGACCGAGGACGCATCTAAGGGCGAAGACGGTGGAAAAGGTGGTGGCGGTAGTGCGAGGCAAGGGAGCGGTCGAACGCAGGCACGGGAGGGGATTCCGACGAGGCCGGCGGGACGCGGGTTCACCATGGGGCGAGGGAAGAACGGAGGGCAGGCGCTCGAGCTGAGTCTGGGAGCGCTTCAGGTAAGCAGCGTGAGCGATGCGTTCTTCGAGGCGGTTATGGCGAAGAAAGCGGCGAGTGGACAGTTCGCCGACGATGATGAGGCTGCAAAGGAAACGGAAAAGGCGGAGAAACATGGGGCAAAGCATCGATACGACACGGCGGAGCTCGTGACTATCCTGCGGGAGATGGAAGCGAAAAACACATGCACGATTCCGGCGGAAGTGTGCGCAGCAGATGTGCCGCTGAAAACGATCAAGCCCGGTGATCCTATGTGGGAGATCACCATGCTTGGACGCCATGGAGACTGGCAGAAGAAGGAGCCGGTGCCGGAGCCGAAGCTCGCAACCAAGACGAGTGACGTCCCGGAGTGGGCTCAGGAGGGCAACACGCTCGCCGATGCGAGCAACACGGATGATGCGTTCCTCGGAACGGCGCTCCCGCAGCTCACAGAGGAGGAGCGACGAGGCTTGATGAACCTCACTTCGGCGCCGCGAGCAGCCTCGCCTCCGAAGACGTCTCGATTCGTCGCCCTGGAGGAGGAAGAAACGCTCATGCCGCACCTCTCTCATCTCGGTGGCGTTATGCAGCAGCAACTACCGCCTCAGGCGCAACAGCAGCCGCCCGTGCAAACGCCTTCCATGCCGCCGATGCAAATGCCGCCACGAGTGCAGCAGCAACAGCAACTGCAGCAGCAGCAGCAGCAACAGATTCCACCTGTGCCGGCAAACGTGGATTGGCTTTATCTCGATCCCACCGGGCAGCAACAAGGTCCGTTCTCGCGACAAGAGCTCATTGATTGGCATCAAGGCGGCTTCTTCCCGAACGATTTACCATGCAAGCCGGTTGACGCGCCACCGGGCGCACCCTTCATGCCCCTGATTGAGTTGTTACAAACTGGGTGGCGATACCGCATCCCGATGCAACAGGCGCCGCCACAGCAGCAAAAGCAACAACAGCAAATGGGTGGACTGCCGCCGTGGCTGTTGCAGCAGCACGGGCAGCCCTCTGGTGCGCCTCAAGCGCCTCGCGGTCGCACGCTGGAAGAGATTGAGCAGTCGCAGGGTCTCGCGAAGCCGCAGACGTCGAGGTCAAACGTCCTCGCCGACTTTGCCGCTGGTCTCGGTATCTCTTCTCAAGCAGGTGGGGCCCCGTGGCAGGCTCGGGGTATGTCTCTGGCGGATTTGGAGCAGAGGCATATGCATGATCAGGCGAGTAGACAAGAAGTGGCGAGTGCAGATGCGTCGGCGAAGTGGGACGCTCCGCCCGCGGCGAGAAGCGTGCCGTCGTCGTCGCAACCGCCTCTTCCGGCGGCTCCACCGCCTCAAGCGCGTCATCCGGTGCAGATGCCCCCTAGAGCGGAGCCGGAACCGGAGACGCGGGCGCCATCTGGTCCCGCGTGGGGAGGCGCGGCGCCGGCAGCGGCGGTACCAAGCGCGGGTAAGACACTCCTTGATATCCAGCGCGAGGAGGAGGCTCGGGCGGCTGAGGCAGCCGCAAAGGCACCGCCGCCGAACGTGAACACGGCGTTTGGTGGGGCCTGGGGCAGCAGCGGCACGAGTGTGGGAAAGAGTTTGAAGGAAATTCAAGAGGAAGAAGCGCGCGTCGCCGCGCGACGCGCCGCCGAAGCCGCCTCGCAGCAGCAACAGATGGCTGCGCAGGCTTCTGGTGGATGGGCTGCTGCAGCGGCTACTGGCGTTCCCGCACCGAAACCGCTGTCACAGTCAACGATGGGCTCCATTCCAACTCCTTCGCCTCGATCCGCGCCGACGCCATTACCGAAGCCGATACCTTCCATTGGCAACGCGATCGCACCTCTCACGCAGGTCGCGGCATCTGGGACAGTTGCGCCACCGACTGGATTCCCGCCGCTGAACAACAAACAAGCCCTTCGCGCTTGGTGCAAGGCGCAGATGAGTCAGCTGAACAACTCTGACGACATGACCTTGGTCGACTTCTTGCTCGGGTTGCCCTCCGCTGGTGAGGTACAGGAGTACGTGGCGCTGTATCTCGGCAAAACGCCCCAAGCAAACGCATTCGCGACCGAGCTTATTCGTCAGAAGCGCGCCGATCCGTCCCTCGCGGAGGGGCTCGGGAACGGCGAAATTGCCGCCATCGCGGCGCAGGGCAGTGGTGGCGGAGCGACCACCTTTGGTGACGACAATGACGACGACAGCGACGCGGGTTGGGCCTCCGCGAGCAAGAAGAAGGGTGCTAAGCGCTAGCTTGTTCGCGTTAGCTGATGATCTAGCATCGCGTGCGAGTCGCATTGCCTCGCGCGGGGTCATCACTTTTACACAGATTTCACATGTATCCAAACGTCCGCCTCCGCCCCGCACTCGTCGACGCCCGTCGACGCTCACGTGTCTCCGACAACGCATTCACCGAATTGACACATGGTACGCCACGTGAAAACCGTTAGAATCGCGATCATCGACGCGAGAGACGAACGCGAAGGAATCCGCCTCGAACGAAACCAAATCATAATCTGACCTCTCCCGCGCGCGCGCACCTCGTAGGCCAACGTCAGAGGACTCCGAGACGTCGATAACGAGGCGTCGGACGATGAGAACTCGGGTCCGGCGCCGCAGGAGTGGTACACGGGCGGAGCTTCGAGCGGCCAGGCTGTGATTGACCCGAGAGAGCGACCGGAGGAACGCCTCGCTGCGATGTTTCGAGGCGCGCGAGAGCGCGGAGCGGTGGACGGCACCGTGGACGATCTGAACCCGAACGCGCAGAAAAGCTCGAACGGGTCGTTCACGGGACGAGCGCGAACGCTGAATTCGACGGGAGACGAGGAGGAGGCGGACGTGGGCCAGGACGCAAGCGACGGCGGCGTCGTCAGTCGAGTGGTGACGTTTTGGCAGAATGGATTCACCGTGGACGATGGACCGCTTCGACAGTTTGATGATCCGGCGAACATGGCTTTCATGGAATCCATCGGTCGTGGCGAGGCACCGGCGGAGCTCGCGCCGAGAAATCGGCTCGAGCGCGTGAACATTAATCTGATGCAGCGACACGAGCCGTACGTGCCGCCTAAGGAACCCAAGTATAAGGCATTTTCGGGTTCTGGACGCACGCTCGCCAGCGATAACACGGCGGCGGCGAGCGCGAGCGCCGACGCAGCACCTCTGGTATCGTCGGATTGGGACGTTGATGAAAGCCAACCAACGACGTCCATTCAGATCCGCCTTCGCGACGGCAGTCGCCTCGTTGCCAAGTTCAACACCGCACATACTGTCGGACACATTCGCTCCTTTATCGCCAAATCTCGCCCGAGCGAGTCTTTTGGGTACTCACTCCAGCTCTCCGGTTTCCCTCCCAAGACGCTCGATGACAATGCGGCTACCATAAGCGATGTCCCAGGTCTCGCAGGCGCCGTCGTTATTCAACGATGAGAATGTTATCGATTTTCGCGACCGATGCTTTGACGCCATCGCGTGTCGCGCACGTCGAGTGAGTTAGATCTCACGCGCGGGCGATACGTTTACGCTGAGTCAGCTTTTATCCAAACACTAGAAACGAACACGGTTCTTATCAATACAAATCACTTTCGTGCGTAGTATTCGATTAACTCTCGATGTTCTGATGCCATCGAATTGACGAACGGCGACACAAACTCGGCCCCAAACACGCGCTGCACGGTGCCGAGCGCGTGGAAAGCGCGCTGCCGGACGGCGAGCGTTTTGCTTTCGCACGCCCGTGCAAGCGAGGGAAGAATGATATCCATGTCCTCTGCATCCGTCATCGCGTGATCGATCACCGTCTGCACGCAGTACATCGGCGAGTCCGATGACGCACTCGCACTTACCAAGGGCGATAATGCCGTAAAGGCATCGCCGGCATCGATGCGGGGATTTTGGAAAATCGCATTCAGAGCGCCGAACGCGTGAGCGGCGACGAGCTCATTCCTATCGTCCATCGTTGAGCACATCGCCGGAACGATCAGCTTGAGGTACGTTTTCAACTGCTCGAAATCTTCCATCACCAAAGCCGTGATGTCTCGCAAGGAACGAACGACAACGTCAACGTTTTCATCTCGTAAGCCCTCTAAAGCTTCAACGACACGTTCACCGAACGTTCGATGTTTCGCCGGGGACGCCTCAATTTTCATGGTTTCATACATTCGATTGAGTAATGTGACGTTCTGGTCCGCGTAGTCATCATCCAAGCTATCGCAGCCTGCGTCGTTTGGGGCCTTGAACTTGGGTGTTTTCGCCTTTGGTGGCGGCGGCTGTGCGGCTTCGAGTAGAGGTTGCAGAACTCGCGCCAGTTTAGGAACGCGCCGCTCCAACGCCTCCATGAATCGTACTCTCTTGAACTCTGAACTCCCCATCAGTCGGTTTGTCACGACGCTGTCATCAACGTGCGAGTAAATGGCGGCTAGGTTTGATCCCGCGGCTTTCGCCATAGCTTCGTCAACATCGCACGCCAACTCGAATACTAAATCAATCCATGACTCCAAATCGGGCGATACTTTTGCTGGAGGATACGAGACTTCATTTGCACCACCGCCACGACCGGACAAGACGTAAAGAGCGAACTCAAGCACACCAGTCTTCGCACGTGGCGTCTCTGAGAGACTCAGCGAGCGCAGAAGTGATGGCAGGAGTGCGTCCGGTTTGTGTGCGTCTCCAATAGCCGTGAGCGCCTCCGATGCGAGTGCTCGCGTTGACTCTCTGTAGTCTGTCAAACACTCAAACACGCCAAGGCACAGGTCTGGCATTAACGGCTTGAGCTCATCCGTCGCGACATACACTAGAATGCTCACGGCCTCGAGAGCGGGATCGATAACGAGCGCATTCGTGTCCGATATGTAGCCCAAAATGAGTTCGGCGATGCGGGACGCGTGTAGCGTCACCTGCGCCTCAAATTGCACCGCGCTCGCGCCGTGCGTGCGAACATCCGCATCGTCTAATGCGTCTCGTAGTTTAGAACACGCGTCGGCGCGCGACGCCCTTTCAGCCGCGCGTTCGACTCGCTCGGCAAACATAACCACTTCGGCGATGTCAGGAACTATGGCAGCTGGTTTGGGCGTCGGCTGCGCGCGCGTCGCGGCGTTTCCAGGCCGATCATTAACTATCGACTGCTTCGGCTGCGCCTGCGCTCCGGCAGGCGGCGGTTTCTCTGCCACGACAACCTCAAAGACAATATCATTCTGCGGACGTTTCCCTTGAGGCGGTTTCTGCCAAGGCTTCGGCGCTGCTCCGCCCTTTGAACTCGCACCTCGCGAGCCTCTCGTCTCAGATTCACTCTCCATCGCACCACCGGATAAGGTCCTCGCGACTTTCGAGTGCACCTTTGTCAATAGTACTTCACTCGCCGCTGGTGCAGTAACGGATAAAACTTCAAAACATGCCTTCGAATTCGAGCGAACCATTGCGTCGGCGTCGCTCAGCGTCTTTTGCAGCGCCCCACCGATTGACTCAATTTGTCGCTCGTTGAGACTCCAGCTCTTCAGTATCAGCGTCATATACTCGACGATGTACCGGCGCATCTTCGGCGAGCGCTCGTTCACGACCGTTTCGGCGAGGATGTTCACGATGCGAGGCGCCTCACAGTGAGCAATGACGCCGCGAATGCACGCGTTTCCGCTTTCGGCGATGACGCCGATAGTGACGATGGTCGTCTTCAATAGCGCCCGTAAGAACTGATCGACGTACTTCTCGAACGCAGTCGATGCGTTGCGCGCGAGGACGACGATCAGGTGCGACACCTGCTTCACCACCGCGCTTCTTTTATCGCCGATTTGCGCGTTGAGCATCTCGACTAATTTCCCAAGCGACTCCGTGTACGTTTCCTCGTACACATCGGCGCCTCCGCCGAGGGTGATCGCTTCCAGCCGTACCATGGCCGCAATGCGCTGTAACCAATCCTGACTCGGATTCAAATCTCGCCCGATGCGATCCATCGCCCGCGCGAGCTCTCTTTCGCTCGAAATCTTCTCCGGCGGCGGCGGCACCAAAGCGTCACCCAAAACCGGGGCCGCGACGACGGCGCCGTCCTCACTCGCGCTCGCACTCGTGTTCCCACCACTCGACGCGATGGTGCGAACACCAGTCTCCGTCTCGTTCATTCGTCGCTCCAGTTCCTTGACGTGCTGCGGACGCATGTCGTCCCTCGCCGCTTCGAGCGCCGCGCGCACGACCGATGGAAATCGCTCGTGCACCATCAAGATACCATCCATCGCGCGCTCGCGCACCTCCGCCTCGCGATCGCCCAGCGCGCCCGCGAAGCGATCGAAACACCTCCGCGCTCCGCCTTCGCTCGCGCACGCGCCGCTCAAAATTTCAATCGCCGAAACGCGAAACCTCCAATTGTTGTCCATCCACGCGAACCCCAGACGCTCCTCCGCGTCCTTCTCCGTCATCGCCCGCGCCTCCAAGAACGCGCACATCGTCTTCACACCGTCCGATCGAATCTCTCTCTTCTGACTTCCCAACGCGTTTCGTATCCCGCTCCAACACGCGCTCGCCCCCGCGCCGCAATCCTTTCCATCTCTCATCGCCCCCATCGCGAGCTCTCGCATCGCCACCAGCGCGCTTCGAGCCTTGAACCCATTCGCATCCCTCGACGCCGGTTCCAGCGCGCGCAGCGCCGCGTTCACGTCCACGTCGGACGGAATCATCGTCGACAGCTGTCGTTTGTTTGGACAAATTTCAAATCCCACGCGATCGCCGCCGCGCCACCCGCGTCCGCGTCCGCGCCCCCCCCCCGCGCGCGCGGGACCGACGACGCGCGCGCGCCGGTCCCGCGCGCGCGCGCGGCGGCGACGGGAGGTGGAAGACGAACCGTCGCGCAATGGCGATCGACGATGTCGCGCCCATCGCCCCGCGCGCGCCATCGCGCCCGTCCGCATCGCGCGACGCGCGACGCGGGTGACCCTCGGGCGACGCGGGTGACGCGAAAAATCTCACGCGCGGTCACCCGGTGGTGACGATGTCCGAGAACGAAGAGGCGAGACGACAGACGGATGCGATCTTGACCCAGGCGGCGGAAATCTGCGCGAGATCGGCGCCGCCGGGAACGACGCCGATCGAGCAGCTCCTGGACGCGTTCTTCGGGTTCCTAGACGCGCGGACGGATTTCTTTGATGACGTCGAACGGGCGGGACGGGCGGTGGGCGACGCGCTGGGGCGAACGAGCCGAGGACGCGACGCGCGGGCGGCGATGCGGGCGGCGGAGCGCGAGGCGCGCGAGGCGAGCGAGCGAACGACAAAGGCGGCGCGCGAAGCGGCGCGCGCGCGAGAGGCGCGGGAGAGTGAGAAACAACGCGTCGAGGCGCTGAAACAACGACAGTTGGAGATGGCGATGAAGAAGAGCGAGGGGAAGTTGACGGAGATCGCGGAGGGCGACGCGGCGGCGGCGAACGAGGCGAAGGCGGACGACGACGACGAAGAGGAGGATCCGAACGCGTTGAAGCCGGGAACGATGATGCCGAACAAAGGGAACGGCGGGGACGCGGAAAAATACGTGTGGACGCAGACGTTGGACGACGTGGACGTGCGCGTGGCGGTTCCGCCGGGGACGAAGTCAAAGCAGGTTCGGTGCGACTTCACCATGGATACGTTTTCGTTTCACCTCGTCGACGCGAGCGGAAAGAGAATCGAACCGGCGTTCGAGGGTAAATTCCACGCCCCGATCGCGCCCGATGATTGTTATTGGACCCTCGAGGACAACGCGTACGTCGTGTGCTTTTTGCAAAAGCTCAAGACGTCCGAGTGGTGGCCGTGCGTGCTCGTCGGCGACCCCGAGATCGACACGAGAAGGGCCGAGCCCGAGACGAGCCGTCTCGCCGATCTCGACGGGGACACTCGAGCGACGGTGGAGAAGATGATGTACGACCAGCGTCAGAAGTCGCTGGGTTTGCCCACCGCCGACGAGCAGTCCAAACACGACGCGCTCAAAAACTTCATGGCGGCGCACCCGGAGATGAATTTCGACAACTGCAAGTTTGACGGCGTGGACAATTTCCGACCCAATTGACCGTCACCGAATCACCGCGCACGCGCGAGAGGAATTTTAAACGACGAATTAACTGAACAAAACCGTGTACCATTAACATGTTCGCGCGCGTCGCGCGCGCGCGATCGCGAATCCTCCCGTCTACGCGCCCCGCCTCGCTCACTCCTCCTCCTCCACCCCTCGTAGGTACATGACGTTATTACACCGTATCAACACCTCTCCCAACGCCCCTTGTAACTCGCCATCGATGTACTCTTCCGTGGACGCGAGCTGGAGATTCATGTACGCATCGGTGGAGACGAGAAACCCGCGGTACTCCATCCCCCACTTCAGTCGCACCGCCACGCGCTTGCCCGTGAGCGCGGCGAGGAAGGGCTTGGGGTTAATCGGCGCGCTCATCCGTCGAAGCGCGGACGTCGAGCGTCGATCGACCGCGCGAGGGCGAGCGCGGGGCGATGGGGTCGGCGCGTCGCGACGGCCTCGAAAGGTGGTCGAAAGGCGGGCGAATCACCTTTCGAGTGAAAATCCAAAGGTGATCGCACCGGTGGGAGAGACGAATGGGCGAACGGTCGGCGGCGCGCGCGGCGGAACGTCGGATGGTTTTCGAGCGACGCGACGACGGCGGGGGCGTGTATTCAACGGTGTAAATGGTTCAACTGGCCTAGACGTACGACTTTCTGGACGATCGACCGAGGCCGAAGAAGTCGCAGCGCACGCGGGACAAGGGTTCGCAACAGAGTTTGCCGAGTCGGCTCCGAGTCGTGAACGGGACGTCGTCCAATTCCACGAACGCGCGAACGGTGCGCTGGACTTTACCTAAACCGCACGATGTGAGCAGATCGAGATAGCGCTGGAGATTCACCGATCGTGTGGCGACGACGTGTGGATCCACCGAGAGCGCGGCGTCCGTGCCAATGGCGTCGTCCCGAACGCGGATGATGTTATAGCATCCACCCTTTTTTAACGTTTCGTGAAGCGCCTTGAAGTCAGAGAACCGTTTCTTGACGAGATGCGGTCCCATTTCAGTCTGGACGAGGATGATGTACTCGGTGTGTGGAAGTGGGGCGAGTCCACTGAACGCACGCGGGCTGTCTTCGATGCCTTTCGCCCGGGAAGCGATGATGGAGACGTCGTATGCCCCGGACGCGGACTCCGTCGCGACCTCGTCGTCGGCGAGGAACAACGCAATATTCAAGCTGGCGAGGATCAACGCCGAGCGCGCGCCCATGCGCATATGACCATACCAGTTCGGCTTCTTCGCGAGATCTATGAGAATCGTGCTCTCCACCGGCGCGCTGCTCAGTCTTTGCGTTGGGATGACTCCATTCGCGACGACGAGCGCCATTTTAACCGACTTCTCCGTCGGCACATCCTCGTTCGTATCTCCAATGATAAAGTTCTTCATTCGTTCCTCGACGGTGGCGCCGCGCACATTCATCATCTTCAGTTTGCTCGAAGTGCTCGATTTCACTCGAAGCACCTTCATGAGCTCGTCGAATCGCAAGCTGTCCTTCTGTCCATCCATCCGGTCGTCCATGTGTCTCAACGCCAAATCGAACGCCATGAGCATCTCCCGCGTCTGATACTCCTTATCTACCGCACTATCCACGTCCACAAACTCCTCTAATTCGTACGTCATGCCGACGAGTGTTTCGAGATCCGTTCGAGTGATGCGCTCTTGTCTACCGATTCCCTCGGGTCCGGCGCTCTGCGAAAGCGATCGCACCGTCTTGCGGAAGCTAAACAGGTTGAAGAGTGAGTCAGCAGAGACCTCGCGCTCGCCCAGACGAATACTCAGTGAATCGAAACTAGATTTCGTCGCAGCAGATGTCTCGATCGTTTGCTTAATGAGCTCATCCACTTCGAAGAGTGTCGCCAACTCCGCGTCAAACGTTTCGCACAGCTCACCGATCGGAGCCGCTAACAACTTGTCCTTGAGTGAGAGCAGCAAGATCGTGGTGAAACTAGGAAGCAAGTGACCGCCCTCGAGAATGAGCGCGTCCCACAATCGAAGCGTCGTTTCTGTCGGTAAGACGCCCAGGCCTAACCTCGTGAGTAATCCGGCGGCGAGGATGCTCGGACGACAATCCGCTTCGTTGCACTTCGCCATCAATTCGGGCTCTCGAAACGCGACGTCCAAGTCGACGTACTTCGCTTCGCCGTATATGTGTATTCCCGTTCGCGATATCACGCCAGGCACGATGTCTTCTACGAATCCCACGAGCATCCAAAACGACGCCTCTTCGTCGTGGTTGGTGAGCAGCAACATGACGACAGCCGGGACGACAAAAGCGGCGCAGTACCCGTGCGGGCTCCTCGCCCCGGCCGCGATCAAAATTCGTTTCAAAGATTGTGGCAATCCCTCGATCGAGTCCGCGTCTCTCGAGAAGCCTTCGCTCGCCAACCTCGCGAATGCGTGAGAGCTCGGCGAGCTCGGCGAAGTCTCCGCCGTGTCATCGACTCGCAACTGTGGGTGCGTCGGACACACTGCTCGCACGTCGCCCTCTAGAACATCCATCTCGTGTTCGCTCATCGTCTCCCTACCGAGCTCCACGTACCTCCCGAACGACATGTCGCTCGAGTACTCTCTCACGTGCGCGTTTAACTTTTCCGCCCAAATCTCCGCTCGATGATCCGGATGCACGCCCACCAGGGCCAGCGCCGCGCACGCCTCGCCACCGATCGCGCGTTCATTCACAGACGCCCTCGCGTATGCCTCCACGCGCTCCATCTGCGCGCTCCGCGTCGCCGCTCTGCGCTCGCTTCGTCGTTCGTGCGCCTCGCGCGCCGCCGACGCCACCTCGAACCCCAGTTCGTCCATCAGCGTCTCCGGCGCCGTCGCATCTTCGTCCTCGTCCACCATCGTCGCTCGATCGTGCATCGAGTCGTCGTACGACGGCGGGTAATCCCTCGCTCGACCGAACGGCAGCCCATCATCATCATCCATCGCGCGCCCGTGGGTGTTACAACACCCACTTCAAACCCGTGCGCGCGCGCGCCGTCCTCGGGCGACGCGTCGTCGATCGCGTCGCGCGCGCGCGTCCGTCGATCGCGATCGGTGCGTCGCGACGACTGGATCGACGTCGACGCGCGCGCGCGTCGCGTCGTGCGGCGTCGCGACCGTTCGCGTCGGTTGACAAAACGACGGTGGGCGTTAGAATGCGAAGCGTCTTTTCTCTTCAAGACGCGCGAGAGAGCGCGACGGCGCGCATGGCGACGGGCGACGGCGGCCGACGCGCGGGGCGGTGGAGAAAATCCGTGTTGACGTCGCGCGAGGACGGCGCGAGCGCGGCGGGGGCGATTCGGGCGTCGCGCGAGCGCGTGCGCGAAAGAGCGCGGGCGCGAGCGATGGGCGTGGATGGGTCGTTGAGCGACAGCGTGGACGCGAGAGAAGTGCGGTTTGAACGCGCGTTCGATGACGTCGAGGCGCGATTCGATGGCTTGAAACGACGCTTGGAGTGGCCGCGGTCGCTCGGGCGGGAGGGGATAGCGTTGAACGCGCGGGCGGGGGTACGGGAGATGTTCGCGCGCGCGCGTTTGCATCGCGACAAGACTCGTCAAGTGAGAAGGGCGAAGAATCGCAAGCTGAGTGGAAATGACGCGCAGAGGGCGTTGCGAATGTGGATTCTCGATCATTTCGACGACCCGTTTCCCACGCTCGCGGAGAAGAAACGACTGGCGAAGAAGGTGGGGTTGAAGGTGGCTGCCGTGTCGAACTTTTTCATCAACGCCCGGGTGCGCTTCTGGAAACCTCTCGTACTGCAACTCGCGGCGGAAATCGAGCGAGGCGACTAGTAAAGAAACGAACATATTATCAACAAACACCTCTACAGTAATTTTGTCTACACACGCACACACTCACACACACACACGAACGTACTAGAGGAAGGAAAACGAGCGTTTCGTCACGCGCTCGTCGGTTGCCAGAATTTTTGCAAGAGGACAATCACGACGGACATGTTATCGCATCCGAGACCGGATCCGCGAGTGTCCGGAGCGAGACATGCATCGCAGAGCTCTTCACACACCCGACTTATTTTGAAAGTCTCCGATTTCGCGCCCGCGATGAGTCGTTCTCTGACGAAAGTTACGCATTCCTGAGACGACATGACGTCCCAAATTCCGTCGCAGGCGAGAATCATGAATTCGTCACCCTCTCGTAATTCAAACTCCCTAATCTCCGGGAAGGCGGTCACCGCCTGCTCCTTCTCGGAGAGATCTTTGTTTCTTTTGTACTCAAAGTCTCCCAACGCTCTCGAGAGCGCGAGTGAACCGTTGACTCGCCCTTCGCTCACGAATCCACCGGCATTCATGATGCGCTTACGCTCCTCCTCATTCATCGGCTTGTGGTCGTTGCTCATATCCTCGGCAACCCCGCCCTTTCGCGAGAAAACCGCGCGGGAGTCGCCCGCGTTGGCACAGTACGCGTTGTTGCCGCGAATGCACACGACAACGGACGTCGCACCCGCTTGTGGACCCGACCAACGATCGAGCGCGTCGACGCCGCCATCCTCAGATGAGCTCGGCTGGGGTTCATCGAAATCCGAGTCTTCCAGCTCGAAATCAAACTTAATATCCCTCTCGTCGATGTTCGGGTCCTGTTCCTTCATCTGCTCGATCAGCGCCGCTCGAAGTTTGGCGTTGATCTCCGCCCGTCGATTCCTCTGTTCCTCCGCGTTCGCGCCCGTTCGCACTAAACCTCCCAAGGCGCCGTCCTCCTCTTCCCCGGACCCGCTCCGCAGCGCCCTGAGCTCGCTCGCCGCCTCCTTCGACAACATCCGTCGATCAAGCGCGAGAAAACTCTCCTCCAACGCCCCCTTCAGGGCATCACCATCGCCCTCGAACCCCTCCGTCTCCTTCAAAGACTCGTGCAGGTGCCTCGCCGCGTACAGCGCCACCTCCTTCCCGCCGTGTCCATCGAACACCGCGAAGAACGCCGTTCGCCCATCGAGCTCCGGTATCGTCGCATGCGCGTCCTATCATCGTCGCACACGTCGCGCACCCGTCAGTCACGCGTACGCGCGCGCCCGCGTCCGAGATCATCCGCCCGTCGCGTCCGCCCGTCGCGTCCCGCGCCCGATCTCATCCGCCCGCCGTCCCCCGTGCGCGCGTCCACGCGTCTCGTCCCTTGACGACGCCCTCGACGTCGTCCAACGACGTCTCACGCGCGTCGTCCGAAGCGCGCGCGTCCATCGTCGTCGTCGTCGTCGTCGTCGTCGTCGTCCACGATTTCCTTTGAAACGTGCGTCGCCGCCGTACCTCCATGTTCGTTCGCCATCCCTGCATCGCCGTCGTCCCGTACGCGAACGACGCCGAGGCGCCGTCGGTGGAGTCCTTCTCGGTGACGGGTTGGGAGAGATAGGCCCCCATGCGTGCGCGCGCGCGCGCGAGCGCTCGACGAGGAATGCGGAGACGACGTGGCGTGTGTCCAGTCAGCATGTGGGGCGACCGAACCCTAAAATGGAGCCGGGCGCGCGCGACGGACGCGGGCGCGTCGGACGCGGACGCGTGACGGCTGGGCACGCGTCCGTGGGATGGTTTGAACGCGTCCTGGGATGTGTGAAATACAGTACTTGGTGCGTGTGCGGGCGCGCGGGGGGTCACGGGCGCGGGCGCGCGCCGCCGTGCGGGCGCCTGCGGGCGCTGGAGGCCTCGAACGGGTTCGCGGATGCGTCCACGCGCGATGGCTCGACCCCGTCGTCGTCGCCGGTGTTTGCGTTGTTGCTGTAGTACGGAATGTACGGAAGGTGCGTCTGGCGCTCGTCCTTTGCGTCGTCTGCGCCGTCGACGTCGCGCGCGCTCGCGTCTCGAGGATCGAACTCGGGCTCGAACGAGCGAGAGACCGTTCGCGCTCTTGGATGGGCTAAACCTCGCGCGTACAGGCCCAAAGTGAGACTGGATCGCTCATCGATGATGTCCTTGCGAGTGAGCAACCCGACGACGCGCGGACGCGAGGGCATGACGTACATGTGACGCAGACCCATCGTGCGGAACTGTCTGTATGCCCGACTTAATCGCGCGTCTCCGTGCACGACGAACGGATGTCTCTGCATGAAACTTCGAAGATCGACGGACATGGTTTGGATGTCCTCGTCGGAGACTCTGTGCGCGACCTCTCTCGCGCTCGGCACCTTGAACGGAATCTGTTTCAACTGCTCCAGGAGTTCGTCTCGCTCGCGTTGAGTCGAAAACAGACGTCCATCATCGCTTCGACCGCCCACAGTCGGGACGAATGATATTCTATGAAGCAACATCTTGAGCAACAAGTTGCGCGTGATGGAACCGTGCAGCTCAAACTCTTCGCCCGCGTACGCCGGAGGTTGCTCTGTTACCGGGTACGCTCCGTGACTCGTCGTCGTGAGAACTTGCAATAAATCCGAGATCGGCATCACCGGTTGCAGCGTCACGAGGTCGTCTGCCATCGCTTCATTCACACGAAGCTTATCTGCGGCGGGACCCGCGAGCTCGGGTTCCTCTAAGAATGGCGCGCCTCGGATTTTGATGTGCGTGTCGTAAATCCCGTGCGTGTACTTGTCCCCGACGGCTTTCGCAGTGAAAATCGTCAGCATGAGCGGGATGATCAATTGCATCGACCCAGTGGTTTCCATGACCAAAACTGTGATCGATATGGTCATTCTCGTTGCCCCACCGAGATTCGCCGCCGCGCCTATGATTGCGTACGCGTGCAAGTTGATCCTCACCTCACTTCCTCGATGACTGGCGATGGAGGCCACGATGCGACCAACGAGCTGGCCGAAAGACGCGCCTACGGCGAGCGATGGAACGAAGAGTCCCGTCGGGGCGCCGATGCCGTACGTGATCGTCATCAAGGAAAAGGTGAGCAGGAAGTACCAGATCAGAGCGCTGATGGGGAACGGGTGCTCTCCGTCTACACCAAACTCTCCAACCTCGCCGAGATGCAACAAAAACTTGAACGACGTCGACAGCGGATTGTAGAACAACTGACCGTACACAGAATACTGTCCATCGGGGCAGTAAAGCTGCTTGAAGAAGTCTTTGCGAATCTCGTCGCGAGTCTCCTCTCCGTACTCAAACGTCGTGTTTGAAATCACACCGAGGTCGTCGATGGAACCGGGCATCAGCGGCGTGGGAACGTCCTTGCAAGGCGACACCGACATGAAGAAAAAGAAGAGCGTCGATGTGATTCCGGCGATGGTAATCACTTCCAGTAGACGCTTGCGCTTATCTGTCACAGGGATGTGCAACGCTCGCCACTTCGTGATCCGCACGTTCATCTTCACAAACGCCGCGCCCAGGAGCCCTCCGCATGCGCCAATGAGAATAAAGATGGGAACTTCCCAAAAGTACCACCAATAATTTCTAGAGTAATCCGCCTCGTTATCGGTGTACAGACCGAAATCACGATGAGTGCCGAACCGCGCGCGCGCAAAGTCGTTCGCGTCAAAGTCAAGCTGCTCGAGCCAATGCATCGTGAGCACGCCCGTGCACGTTGCTAAGAACCCTCGCCATAACATGTCAGAGTTATAAAAACTCGCGCCTTCCTCCACGGTGAATAACATCCCACCGATGGGCGCCGCGAACGCCACCGCCACGCCCGTCGCGGTGCCGATGGCGACAAAATCGCGTTTGTTACGATCGTCCCGAAACCAAGCCGGTTTCTTCAGCCTAAAACCGAGCGTATTCGACCCAAACGCGCTCAGCCCGCCTCCGACGAGACCACCGCCGTGCACGAACGGCCCTTCCTTACCTGCTATGAGTCCAGCGCCGATGCTGAATGCGATGCCGCCGAGCTTGGCGACTGCCGTCTTCAACCTTAACAACCCCTTCAGATGCACGCCGTTGAGGTACGTTTTCAACTCAGGAATCCCTGATCCCGCCGCCAAAGGTTCGACGTAACTCACTAACCCCCCCGCGACGGAGGCGAACAGACAACTCACGATAACGTGCAATAACCACGCCACAAACCGCGCGTACCCATCCGTCCCCACCTTGTCCCCGATGACGCCGTACCGGAACAGATTCAGCTTATCCACCAACCCATCGACGACAAAAGCGATGAACCCCATCACCATTCCGATCATCGCGCTCGTCGCCCACTTCCACCAAATCTCTCGTCGATAATCCTCCCGGTCGCGCGCCCGCAAGGCATCCTCCTCCAAGTCATTGTCGATCGGGTCGTAATCGTGCGACTCGAACGCCGCCATCCTCTGTAACCGTAGGTGCGCCGCGTCTGTCTCATTGCCTCCGACGACTTGCCCGACGAGCGCGGGCGCGGAGGGGACGTAATTCGTCGGCTCAGCGTCGCGCGCGTGTAAAGAATCTTGACTGTTTGACGCGCGCGCGAGCATCGTGGCGCTCGTCGCGCGCACCGTCTGCGCGCGCGTCGCACCGCTGGACGATTCATCCATCGCAAGACGCTGGAGCTCAACCCCGTGGTCGTCGTCGGCCATTCCGGGGGCGACGAGCGACGACGTGTGCAGTCACGCGGCGGGCCGCGGAACGTGACATCGAGCCGCTCGATTCGAGCGGGGTGCGACACGAAAGTTGACGGCGTCGTTACATCGCGAACGGTGGCTTTTGGTGACAACATTTTTTTCGTAAGTGCTTGCGTTTCGATGCGCCGGCTCACGCGGCGGTGACGGCGAACGGCTTGGTTTTGACCTTTTCCTTGCGAGAGCACGCGGCTTGGGCCGCGGCGAGGCGGGCGACGAGCACGCGGCTCGGAGAACACGATGCGTAGTCCACGTCCAGGGCGTCGATCGTTCGAAGTGACGCTGGATCACCACCGTGCTCGCCGCAAACGCCGACCTCGATGTCGTTGCGAATGTCTCTCGCGCGATGGATTGCGATATCCATGAGTTCGGCGACGGCGACGGGATCGAGCGTGACGAACGGATCGTCGCGCAAGAGCCCTTTAGCGATGTACGGCTTGATGAAAGCGTCGCTGTCGTCGCGCGAGAACCCGTACGTCATCTGTGTCAGATCATTGGTACCGAACGAGAAGAAAGAGGCGCCGGCGCGCGCGAGGTCGCCGGCGATGAGCGCACAGCGAGGCGTTTCAATCATCGCGCCGATTTCCATACGAATGGGTGGCTGCTGATTCTCCTTCGCCAATTCCTTCATCACGCCCCACACCAAGTCCCGCTGGTTGTGAAACTCATCCACTGTGGAAACGAGCGGTACCATGATCGACGGAGTCACTGGGAAGCCTTCCGAGGTGAGATCGATGGCGGCTTGCGCAAATGCGCGCACTTGCATCTTCGACATGCTCGGTCGGAGAATGCCAAGACGACATCCTCGCAGGCCCAGCATTGGGTTGTGCTCACGCATGTTCTCGGCGATTTCCATGATGTCGTGCGTGGATTTTCCGATGTATCTCGACATTTCTTGCGCGCCTCCCTCGCGAAGTTGCTTTTCGCTCGGCAAGAACTCGTGAAGCGGCGGATCGATCAAGCGCACGGTCACCTTTCGTCCCGCCGCGGCTTTGAGAATACCCCGAAAGTCTTCGTAGTGGTATTTCTCAAGCTTTTCGAGAGCAATCGTGCTAGACGTTTCGTCCTGCGCCATGATGAACTCGCGAATCGCGTGCACTCGATCCGTCGTCGAGAAGAACATGTGCTCAGTTCTGACGAGTCCGATCCCACTCGCGCCGTTGCGAATCGCCGCGTCCGCATCCTCCGGTGTATCGGCGTTGGCTCGGATCTCGATACCTCGTTTTTGATCGACCCATTGCATGAACGTCTTCAGTGGTAAAAACGTCTCGATCGTCGATGGCGCAACAGGGAACGAGGCGTTGAGAACTTCGCCCGTGGTGCCATTGATTGAGATGACATTTCCCGATCGAAACGTTTTATCGCTCGAGCCGAAGCGAATCTCTCGGTCGTTTTTGAAAACGATATCGCCGCATCCACTGACGCACGGCTTCCCCCAGCCACGAGCGACGACCGCGGCGTGTGACGTCATGCCGCCTCGGGCGGTGAGGATGCCTTCGGCGGCAAACATACCACCGATATCATCTGCGCACGTTTCCTCACGCACTAAAATCACGGGCGTGCCCTTGGCTTTCATTTCTTTTGCCTCTTTCGCTGAGAAGCAAATCGCGCCGACTGCTGCTCCGGGCGAAGCCGGTTTGCCTTTCGCGACTATTTTGCCGCTGTACTCGGCCGACGTTTCGTCGATGACAAAGACCGGGTGCAGCACCTGTTCGATTTGCTTCGCGTTCACTTGCATTAACGCTTCGTCTCGAGTGATGATGCCCTCGGCAGCCATTTCAGTCGCGATTCGAACAGCGGCTGTCCCCGTACGCTTGCCGACGCGGCACTGTAAAATGTACAGGTTGCCGTCCTCGATCGTCCACTCGATGTCCATCATGTCCTTGTAATCTTTTTCAAGTTCTTTGCAGACCTCGTTCAGCTCCTCCGCCGCGCTCGCTTGCGTTCCGGCGAGATCGGAGATCATCATTGGTGTTCGCACGCCCGAGACGACATCTTCTCCCTGCGCTTTTTGAAGAAATTCTCCATAGACCTTGTCCGTACCATCGGCAGGATTTCGAGAAAAGCAAACGCCCGAGCCAGAATTGTCGTTGAAGTTCCCAAAGACCATCTGCTGCACGTTCACGGCGGTGCCGAGTAATCCAGAGAGACGATTGATATCGCGATACTCCACCGCGCGAGGATTGTTCCAGGAAGAGAAGACAGCGAGGATGCTCTTGGACAGTTGATTCATCGGATCTTGTTCAAACGTCTTCCCGTGTTTGACGTAGATGTCCTTGTACTCATCGCAGAGCTTTTTCAACGCCTCCGCCGGGAGTTCGCTGTCGAATCGAACTTCGTTTGCCGACCGAGCCTGGCTCAGCGCGACTTCAAAATCCATCTTTGGAATTCCCTCCACGACGTCGCCAAACATCGCGAGCAATCGACGATACGAGTCGTACACCCACCGTTCATCAAACCCGGCCTCGACGCACGCCGCGACGCACGCATCGCTCAAACCGAGGTTCAAGACCGTGTCCATCATTCCCGGCATCGACGCCGCCGCGCCCGAGCGCACCGAAAGTAACAACGGCGCGCGTCCCACGAGAGAGCATCCGGATCGGAACACCGTTCGCTTCGCCGTTCGCTCCAGCGACGACACCGCCTCCAAAACGTCCGGCCACAATTCGCTCTGAACGTACGTCGACCCACGCGCGGCGAACCGTTCGTTACACGCCGCGCTAATCGTGAATCCCGCCGGTACGTTGAGTCCGAGGAGCGCCATCTCCGCCAATCCGCTCCCTTTGCTCCCGAGCAGATCCTTCATCTCTTTCGTCCCGTACGCGCATCCGCGCTCGAAGTGAAAGATCGCCGTCGACGTCCCATCCCCGTCCGCGCTCGCCCCCGCGCACGGCCACCGCGCGCGTCGTCCACGTCGTCGTCCACGTCGCGCCATTCCGGGCGCACGTTCGAGAAAGTCGATTCGTCTCCCACCGCGCCCGCGACCGACGCGCGCGCGCGTCTTCGCGCGTCGCCCGTCGCGCGAACGCGAGAAAAAATTTCCGTCGCCCACGCGCGCGTTCGAAGCGCTCGTCGAGATCGCGCGCGCGCGCATGCGCGTCGTTGTGCGGGTCGAGGACGCGCGCGAGCCGATATCGACCTCGAGCGATGATGCGAAAACGACCCAAACGACGTCGCGCGGGAACGATGACGACGCGCGAGGCGACGGCCACGGCGACGTCGTACGCGCCGTCGTTCGAGGACATCGATGGCTACGTCACGAGCGCGCTGGACGCCATAGACGGCGCGGCGGCGACGTTGTTTTCGAGCGATGAGCACGCGGCGATCGATGATCCAACGACGACGAAAACGACGCGAACCGCCGCGAAGTGGGCGGACGTTCGGTGGGACGCGTGCGCGACGAACGTGAAAGACGTGCTCGAAGTCATCGAGGCGTCGCGGGAGACTGAGAAGGAGAAACGACGGGTGTTGAAGCGAATCTTAGGCGACTCGAGCGGCGACGCCAAGGCGACGACGATGGCGCTCACGGAGGAGATTAAGCGCCTGAATGAGTCGAGAGAGGAAGTATTCGGAAAGGTTTTAGATGGCTTGATGACGACGATTGAGGGCGTTTTCGCGTTGCCGGACCCGACGGAGGCTCTGCAGGCGAGCGCGCGTTGGAGACGCGAACGGGACGCGATGGCGGTGGAGCGAGACGCCGCGATGAAGAGAGCCGAGGCGGTGGCGGGCACGGGTGCGAACGCGTCGGAACTTCGAGAAAAGCTCGCCGAGGAGACGCGAAGCGTAATCCGGGTGATGGAGGCGAAGAAGCGAGCGGCGGAGACGAGTGCGGATACGGCTCGCGCGGACGCAGCCAAGGCGAGCCAAAAGCTCGAGGAACTGCACAAGTTGTACGATGAATCGCAGAGTAAGCTCTTTGAACTCGAGGAACGCGTGGAATCCGATGCCGCACGGCAAAAGGCGGAGCGCGAGGAGCTGAGGGCTCTAGGCGAGGAGCTGCGTGAGCGCGAGAGCGCGCTCAATCAAGCGGCGCAGGAACATCGACGAAATGAAATCGCTACGGCAATTCGCTCAGATAACGACGATGCGGCGCTTCGCGAAAAACTCGCGGTAAAAGAACGAATGGTTTCACAGCTCGCATCTTCGCTCGAAGCCGCGGAGGCATCGGCGAAGGCGGCAAGGGCGGAGCGTGACGACGAAAAGGCAAAGCTCGAATTGCAGATCTTGCAACTAAGAGACGAGTTAGCCAAGTCCATCAACGCGAGACCGGTTGTGGACGTGTCTGCGCACGAGGCAGAGATCGCGCAGTTAAAATCAAGGGTAAAGATGCTTCAGGAGATCGCGGGTGTCAGCGCGAATGATGATGGCGACACGGAAGAGACCTCAACGAGCGCCGCGGCGATGGAATCGTTGCGAGAGCGCAACAAGAAGGCTTCGGCTGAGCTCGTCATCGCGCGAAGGGAGCGAGAGGAAGCGATCACCAAGGCGGAGATTGCCCAGAGTGCGCAGGCCGTAGTCGAGCGAAAATATGCCGAAGCGGCAGCGATGGTGACGACGCTCGAGCAGGATCTGAGTATAAAGTTGGCAAAAATCGTCGAGGATAGAATCAACGCGAGTTCTGCCGGCGCCGACGCGAAAGATTCCGACCTCTTGGCTATTCTCACGTCCCAGCGTGATCGATTCAAACGACGAGTGGGCGAGCTCGACGAACGCGTCGCGAGGTTGGAGCAGGAGAAAGTCGTCGCGGAGGACGCGCTGAAGAAGAAGGAGAACGACTCCATCGCTCTCTTCGAGAAACTTCAATACGTGCAGAACTACTATGCAAAGAACGCGTCGGCAACGGGGAGAACAACGATTCTACGCGTTGACGACGCCGGGGTGCCTGTGGCACCGACCGCGGCGCAGAACCAAAGTGCGAAGAACGCGCGTTACTCGTGCGGCGCCGTGTCGGTGAACATCGAGAGCGAGAAATCTGCCGCCGCCATAGAGGGCATACGACGTCGCGCCGCGAGGTACGGCTGTTTCGCCGGCGCCGGCGCGGGTGATGAGATTCCGGGCGGAGACGAGGCAGGTCTCGTGTCGCGTTACCGACGCAAGTACCTCGCTCGACTCAACCCGTTCGCCGCGTTTCGACGAGACGCGCAGGACGAATCCGTCGGCGCCCTCCCTCTTCACGACCGCGTCGGTCTCACGGGTGGGAAACTGCTCATGACCTCGCGCGCCACGCGCGCGACGTTCTCCCTGTACATCATCTTCCTCCATCTCTATCTATTCACCAGGGCGTTCGCGTCTTCGTAGAGAGACAAAGTCCAAGTCCAAGTTCGGTCGCTCGTTGTAACAACCGCATTACTCGTCATGCGCGTCTCGACAGCCGCCGTCGTCCGTCTGCCCCCCTCGACGTCCAGGCGCGTCCGCGCGCGCGCCGAGCTGAATGAATCCGACCGCACGCGACGAACGAACCGTTGGATCGACGACATCATCATAGGTTGGTCTCTGTGTCCGTTCGCGAAACCTCTGAGGAAGACCACGCAGAGCCTCACCGTGCTCGTCACGAACGCGCGAGCGTTGGAGAAGACGTGCGAAAGCGAAGCCTCGCGACTGATGCGCGCTCCGACGTCGTCACCGCACACGACGCTGCTCGTGCTGGAGGAAGATGTGTCGTGGGAGGAATTCATGGACGGACCGGCGGCTGCGTGCGCGCGCGCGTGCGAGCGAGCGACGGGTGACGAAGTGACCGTCGTGCCGTTTCATCCGGAAGCGACGTTCGACGGGGAGAGCGCGTGTGGGAATTTTACGTCGAGAAGTCCGCACGCGACGGTGCATCTTTTACGGAAGGTTGACATCGAGCGAGCGGAGAATGCGTGGTACGTGGACGAGGAGCGAGAGGACATTCGGTTGAGGAACGTCGAGTACTTGAACGCGCTGGGAGTGGATGAGCTTCGTCGCGCGTTCGGGGAGATCGCGCGGGGATGAGGGGTATTTCGTTCGTCTAGTTGGCTATCGTGAATTCAACACACTGTACTATTGTTCGCTATTGTTGTGAATGACGCCGAGCGACTCGAGCGCCGTCTTTGCGGTGGAATTTATGACGTGAAATCGCGCCGGCCCGAGGTGCACACCACCGTACCACCGCGTAACAACGACCACGACGTCTCGGGCGTCCGCGAGGACGAGTAAGCGCAACAAACGCCCGCCCGCGGCGCTCTCTCCGTCGTCGTCCGAGTCCTGATAAAATTCCTCCGAACGTCCCTCCTCTCGCCGCGATATCCTATACGCCAAGATGTTATGTGTCGCCTCCCGAATTTTCTTATTCTGCAGCAGAACGCGCATCACTATCTCCACGTCTTCCACCGATCGCACGTCCGAGCACACGTGCGCCTGAAAAACGCTCTTCTTCACCGTAACCGGTTCGTGCGACGTCAGCCGCGCGCGCACGCTCAAAACGCTCGAATCCTCCGTTTCCACCGCCAGCTCCTCACGCGCACCCACATCCTCGCTCTCGTTTTTCTCGATCCGTACGCCCACGGTCTCGTCGTCCAATCGCTCCAAAGTCTCTCTCGCCCGTTCGAACCAGGCGTACGCGCAACACTCCCGCAACTCCCGCTCCCACAACTCAAACTGCGTCCCATCCGCCTCACCTTGCAACGAACGCTCGATCTCCATCGCGCGTGCGTCTCTTCCACGCGTGAACGTCACCCTCGCCCGCTCGGGAGGTCGCGCGCTCGGATACCCGACCGGTAACGTCAACGCGCACGCCGCCGCGCGAGACGCCGTCTCAATCATCATTGAAATCTCAACCTCTCCGCGCGCGCGCACCGTGACTCGCACGTCGTCCTCGCCGTATATCGCTCTGAGCGCATCCGCCTCGTCCACGCGTCGTCGTTCGTCGTCGTCGTCGTCGTCGGCGGCGGCGTCATCGAGCATGGCGTTCGCGTCAGAGACTGACGCATCATGTTCGTCTCTTCCGTCTCCCATGCGCGCGCGCTCGCCCCGGGGCGACGCGCGCGGACGCGTGGGGTCACCTCCGTCGTCGCTCGCGCCTCGTGCGGCGTCGAGCGCGCGCGCGGCGAACGAACGATGCGAATGATGATGATTTCCATCGGGATCGCCGGACTCGTGCAAGCCTCGCCGCTCGCGATCGCTCACGCGAAACCGGCGAGCGGTGAGGGCATCGAGTGCACGATGATGACCCCGTGCACGCCGCCGCCGCCGGACGGGAAGGCGCGGTACGAGTTGCCGGGAACGACGTACGACCCGGCGAAGGAGGCGGAGCTGCGGTTCATCGAAAAGATGAACGGAGGCGGCGCGAGCGCGAAAAGCGCCGAGCAAGGTCGAGCTGAGGCGTTCTTGGAGCGTCGATGATCGTGATCGTCGACGAAATTTTGAAACAGTAGGAGCTATCGCGAAGATAATGTCGTGTTTGATGAACCGCGGCGCGCGCCGCGTTGGTCGTCCGCGTCCCGAACGCGTCGCTGCGTACACGTCCGCCGCGTCACTTCGAGGCACGCGATCGGTCTGAACGCCTCGTTCGTTTCGAAAACGCGTTTTCGTGTCTAAGCGTTCTCGAATCGCTCGTAAACGCGCACGAAGTCGCGGTCATCGCGTCAACTGTCATTCCCGCTCGCGCGGCGTTCAGTCAATGTCCATCCAAGTTCAAGACTTCCCGGACGGCGTACGAGAGATTACGATCGCGAACGCGACTCGAGGGAACGCGCTGACGATGACTATGCTTGTGGAGCTCGCGAGCGCGTTCCGGAGCGCGTCGTCGAGCGCAAAGTGCGTCGTGCTCAAGGGATGTCCAAAGAGTAAGAGCTTTTGCACGGGCATTGAGCTCGCGAGCGCGGAGGAGGTTTTCTCTGCGCCGGAGCGAGGTGACGGCGGTGATTCATCGGATCCTGTGAGTGCGATGGAGGCGTGCGCGGTACCTATCGTCGGCGTAGCGCATGGGGCGTGTGTGAACGCGGGATTTGAGATTTTGTTAGCTTGCGACGTGTTGATTTGCTCGAGCGACGCAAAGTTTGTGGACACGCATGCGAAGATCGGAATCATTCCGAGCTGGGGATTGAGCGTGAAGTTGAGCAGGGTCATCGGATCTAACGCGGCAAAGGCGTGCTCGGTTTTCGGAGAGGTTATCGACGCCCAAAGGGCGCTCACGCTCGGGTTGGCGCATCGCGTGACGTCAACGCCAAAGCAGGCGAAAGAAGCCGCGTGCGAGCTTGCGAGGCGAACGCTCGTATTTCCTCCGGGGGGAGCGAGCGCAGTGAAGAATGCGATTGATGATGGTTTGCTGATACGAGATGTGCGCGCGGAGGAGCGACGGAGAGCGTTTGCGCAGTATGCGCAGGTCGCTCGGGAGCGACTCAAGGCGTTCACGGCAAGACGCTCCAAATTGTAAGTCAAATCAATCCGTCTGTACCGATACCGGTACTGGTGGTGAATACAACATCTGTAATGTACACGCGACTAGTCGTCCCAATCGCTTTCACCGTCCTCACTCCCTTGGTCGGTCTGACCCTTCGACTTGCTAAAGGCGTCAAAGCCGAGCACATTATCGGCGCGTTTCGTTGGAGTGGTAATTTTCTCCCGAATGTCGTGGTCGCCCGAAGCCACAATCGCCGCTCTTCGGCGCCCTATGCTGTTCGCCAACTCTTCCATCATCGACATCTGTCGCGGTGGCGCAGCCTGGGCGTTCGTGGGCTCGCTCGCGCGTGACGGGGCTTCACGGGTGCTCGATGGTTTCAACATCGGTTTCGAGCGAATGGCATCCATGAGGGCGCCTCGCAAGTCATCCTCGCGATTGCTGGCCGGTTGAGTCGGCGCCGACGCCGCGACTTCGCCCGCATCAATCGCGCCAGTATTTCTCTTGCGGAGCCGGGACTTGTTGTTCGGGTTTCGAATAGCCGCCATGAGAGCGCTCCTTCCCGAGTCGTTGACGTTTGCGCCAGTCGGGAGTTGCTGGGGAGGACCCGCGGAAGGCGCGTCCCCGGGCGGCGGGGGCGGTGGTGGCGGCGGTGACGACAGTGGCAGTGGCGGTGGAGGAGGAGGAGGAGGAGGAGGAGGAGGAAGCGCAGACGCGCTCGGGCGCCCGGTGGGCTGCGTGATGATGACGTCTGGAAGCGGCGTCGCCGTCGACGACGGCGCGATGGATTCCACATTTTTCGTCACCCCCGACCAACTTATATCCGCCACGTTCCGCAGTGCGCTCAGGTTCGTCGGGAAGTTTACCTCCGGCATGGCGCTCATCGTTGGTCTGAATCCAAACTGCGTCGCGCTCACGGAATCGTACAGCCCGTCCGTCATAGATTTCGGTGCCTCGGCTAAATTTTTCCAATCGTCCTCGTACTCATCAGTCGCCTTCTCCACGTCGCCGCTCGCGCCCGCATCCTCTCCCTCACCCTCATCCCCGTGCACGAGATTATCCATCAAATCGTACTCCACGTACGGATTCACGCTCGAGTTAAACATCAACGCCTCATTCAGGCTCTCTAAACACTCCGGCAGCGTTCCTAATCCGTCTCGTCCGCTCGCGTACGTCCCGCTCGCGAGCGCGAGCTTCCGCTCCCGCTCCCAGTGCGCCTTTCCCACGCGCTCCCTGTGCACCACCTGCCGTTCGATCAGCATCATCTCACGCTCGCTCTTCCGCTCGATCGCCTCCACGTCATCCTTTAATAACTCCAAATGCGCCGTCAGACGCGTCGTCGCCCGCGCATTCGCCATGCAACCGACCGCGCGCGCCTCCGCGTCCTCCGGGTACTTCCCACTGTGCGTCACCGCTTGCGCCCGTCGCGACGCGCGCACCGCTTCGACGCGACGTTCGAGCGTCTGCGTGCGACGCCGCAGGCGATCCACGCGCGCGACGTGCGCGTCGACGCGGGATTCAATCGATGCGTTCACTTTGAGCGTGATCGCATCCAACGCGTGGGCGAGCTCGATCGCTCTCACGCGCGTCTCGTCCGGGTCCAGACCGGGGGTGATGAGCTGGACGTCGCATATTCTATCGAGCATGGAGTCACGCGAGCGCGTCGCGAGCTGAGGACGCGGACGCGCGCGCGGATTCGGTTCGGACTACATTCTATTACATTGGCGAGCGCGATCAATCCCTCGCGCGCTCGGGGTCGTACGGGGACCAGACGATGGCGTCTGGATCACACGGAACGCCCCCGGATCCGGCGGCTTTGAAATGTTTTTCGATGAGCTCCGGGGACGCGCAGATGACGTACGCGCCTTTTGTGTAGGCGAGCAAGCCGAGGTGTTGGAGGGTGGAGATGATATCCTCCGTCTTGATCATCGTCATCTCGCTCAGGTCTTTGATGGAGACGAACTGTTTACTCTCGTCCTGTAAAATTTTTAAGAGCTCTCGGGTCCAGTATCCGCGATAGGACACCAAACCGAGGTCGCTGAGCGGACGTTCCGGGGTGCCAACCTTGCCCTCGATTTTGGACAACTCGTACGAAAAGGAAATCAGAAGCTTACCGTATCCCTTGCGCTGATACGGCGGCAGAGTCAAGATGCACGCCAAGTTGTATCCCTCCTCTGAACATTTCTCCTTGGAGAAGTACCCGACGATGTGATACCCTCTTTCGTCGCACTCCATCAAGACGTAAAACAAAAAGAGGTCGACGTCGTAGTACAGCGTCTTGTGATCTAAAAACAGCTTGGCCAGGTAGCACAGGTTCTGGCAAAACAGCCTGTGCTTCTTTCCGTCGATCTCGAAAAAGCTCAGGTTGCCCTTGCGGTAGATCTCATCCCCGGGCGGGTGTCTCAGCTCGTTCTTCTTCAGGTGTCGCTGCAGCTGTTCCTTGCGCTTGAAAAACTGCAAGGTGTACTCGCAAAAGTAGAGCTTTTGACAGTCGTTATACTCGGGAGGAAACGGGGAGAAGTACCACGTGTCCATCTCGTGCCTGCCCAACTCAATCTGTAAAATGTTCCGCACCTTTGTGAACTCCTCGTGTTCCCGCAGCGCGTGCGCGTCGAACTCGGCGTGCTCCGCGTCCGGTTCGTTCGCCTTTTCCTTCTTCTTCCCGTCCTCCGTCTTCTCCGGCGGTTCCACCGTGGCGAGATCCATCTCCCCGAGCGTCACCCACGAGTCCATCCGTCGATTAAACCGTTCGTAGTGGACGTAATATTCGTATTCCTCCTCCCCTTTCCCTTCACCGCGTCTGCGTTCGATCACGCGCGCGAGGTACTTTTCGCCCGCCTTGCCCCGCCACGCGCAGTGCACCTTGGTGCCGATCTCCAACGGGAGCTCCACCCCGGGCGGGACGTCGACGTGGACCCGGGCGGGTCGTCGCCGCGTCGTCTCTGCGTCGTCCTCCGTCTTCTACGAGCGCGTACGCGCGGGCGCGGGGTCAGTCGCGGGCGTCGGGTCGGGATCGATTGGGAACGCATCCACGCGCGCGCGCCGCGGCGCCCGACGCGCGGTCGTCGACGCGGGTGGGAGGTCCGCGCGTCGTTCGCGGCGTCGAGAGCGATGGGTGAAGACGCGGGCGTACCGTTCGTTTGGTCATGACGCGCGGCGGCTGAGAGTGGGGGTGGGTGAGGCGAAAGGGTGGAGGACGTAACAAGAGGGTGTTCTACGCGTCGACGCGCTCAAAGGCGAGCGAGTGGCTAGACTTTGTCCTTCGGAGCTCTCTTGAACATGGCTCGTTTTCCTTGCTTACCTATGTTCCTGTGAGACTCGATCAAGTCTTTCAGGTTCTTCGACGCGACGAAGGTACCTTCGTCGTCGTAGAGGCCTTCTTCTTCTTCGTCGTCGTCGTCGTCCTGCGCCATCTTTGTTTGCGTCTTCCGCGCGCGCTCCGCCAGGGCAGTCAAGAGTAAGAAATCGGCCTCGTCGAAAGGGGTGTCCGTGATCCCGTTTACGGTGGCAAATGTGCGCTTGAGAAACTCCTCGTTGGTCGGAATGTCCAGTATCTCCATTTTTTGCAGCAACAGCCCCTCCGTGATCGCGCCCTGGAATCCCGAGTCTAAAAGCGTGTAGACATCTCCCGTGTTCTTCACCGCTTCGTGCGAAAGTTGAAAATAATGCGCGATTTTATCTATGCGTTGCTGTATCTCCAGCTTTTTCGCGACCGTTTCGCTCGCAGACTGCATGCTTGTCACGATGATACCGACAAACGCGGAGACGAGCACCATGCCTGAGACGAGGATGTACGAGAAGAAGAATATCACAGCGAAAACTCTTTGCCTTTGCGGGTTGGGACAAATCGTGGAGGAAATATTTTGCGACCACTCCATACCGATGACCGAGGAGTAATATCGCGCATCATCCACGTCACCGTACAAATTTATGTCGCAGCCGTTGTAGTTGATGTCGAACACGGGGCGCCAGTCCTCGAGGAAGGAAACCGTGAAAAGAGTGACGACTCCGCTCGAGAGTTTTCCGAAGTGGAACGGATCGTTCCTTCTGAATACTTGCACAGCCGCGACTGCGTATACGAAGAACATGATAATCATGAACAATGCAACGTATATGATCGAGTTGACGCCTGCGATGAGCGACAGAATGACGATCTGAAGCGGTTTTATCATGCGCACCAGGCGCATGATTCTCATGAGTCGACAGAGTCGAACCGCTACAGCAGCGCCAGGAGATGAGCTCGGAATGAAACCGATGACAACAACCGCCAAGTCGAATAAGTTCCACCACTTTTCCGCGCCGAAAAAAAATGAAAGTTCCCTGTCGAGAAACGAGAAGAATTTGATCCCGAGTTCAATCGAGAACACGATCATGAAAGCCAACTCAGAGTCTTTTTCCCACCCACTCGTTTTCGTGGACGAAGCGCTCGCGGTCACACCAGCAATAATACCTGCGGCAAGGATGACGAGCATGACTGCCCACTCAAAGACGGGATTCTGAATGACCCTTCGCAAGAACATCTGGAACTTTTTCCACGGCGCCATGGGCGGTAGTGGTCTCTTTTCGCCTTCTTTCTTCACCCCTGAGAGCAAATTCAAGTGGTAGATGAGCTGTTCGTATAAATTTTCGCCGATGTGCAATACGAGCAAATCAGGCTCTTTCCACATGCCGTCCACTTTTGCGGCAACTTTCTTCAGGACGTTCTTACTCTTTGACTTCTTTAACTGTTCAGTTGCCTCCTCCATCTTATTCGTGATCACCCCGATGAACAAGCTGGTCATGATATTACCGAGAATGA